GCAAAAGTTATTATTATAATACATTACACTTTCCCAATGAACTACAATAATATTATACTGCACAAGGTTGAAAGGTTAAAGCGATTATAACTACATGTACATGTACATGTATTTATTAAGGCCTCCATACACTAGGCAACATGTTGCTAGCAACATTTGTGGTTACTTTGACTTGTAAGCAACATGTTGCCAGAAATAGAACAGCCTTCTATTTCTGGAAACATGTTGCTTACAAGATCAAAGTAACCACAATGTTGCTAGCAATATGTTGCCTTGTGTATGGAGGCCTTAATATTACTAATATACTATTAGCAAGTACAATTACTTATACTCACATCATCTATACTGTTTGCATCAGCTCCTTTGGATAATAATATTTCAACTATATTAATATGTCTTTTTCTTGCTGCTTCAATCAGTGGTGTTATAGGCTATAAAAAAGTAAGAGTTATTGTTAAGCACATACATTTGGAGCCAACCATGAAAATAAACTCACAAAATCATTGAAGTGCCATCCCCTTAAAATTGTCAACCACAAAAGTTAAAACCACAAATTGACTAGGAGCAAACCACAACCCACAAAAATAACCTAGTATATACATGTACATGTATGGTAATTAATCAATAATGAAAGTGGCATTAACATGATATGAACGGCAGTAATTGAATTAACCACTAAATTTCTTATCACGCTTGCTGCTATTCTAATGTATAAGAATAATCTTATGTATATGTACTAACATAATCAATTTCTTGGCTTATGTTTGGATCAGCTCCATTATCCAGCAGTACTTTTACAGTCTCATAGTCTCCTCCTCCTGCTGATACAATAAGAGCAATACCACCTTCCTGTAAAAATAAAATAATACTACATGTACAATAATACTTTGAATAGCATACAACCAAAGTTCTGCCTAAGGTGGTCGGGGGTGGTCAGTACAACCGTCTCAACAAATGAACAACCAGATCATAACTTAAACCAACCATGCAATTAATATTAATAACCATACATAAAGCATGATATTGTAGTCTACTAGTCTACTTCTGGTCGAGTTGACAAAAATAGCGCACAAGGGCCAAAAGCCCAAGTGCACTATTTTTGTCAATGAGACCGGAAGCGAGTGCAGATAAATCCGGCAATACACCACGCTCCATGTGTTAACTGTTTTAGTGAAGACTTGTAGCAAAGATTAGCAGTATTTATCACGTGGCTTGGTACTAATGGTGGACAGCAGCAGCTCGATTGGGAAAGGGAAGAAGAGATCTATTTCGCTAGCAACAGGTGGGAGCAAGCGCTTTGTGTACTGTTCAAAAGACGCTTTAGATATTGCTGCTCAGGGAGTTGTTCCAAGAAATACCCTTCTTGTCAATGAATGGGCCAAGAAGATCTTAGACCGTTGGGTTCAGTTTTCAGCAACGATGGAGGATCCATCTGAGGCCATTCCTTGTGATCTCCTGTCCTGTAACGACCCACAAGTATTAAGTGAATGGTTGAGCAAGTTTGTGATGGAGGTTCGCCAAGAGTCTGGGGAGCCATATCCTCCTAGGAGTGTACAGAGCATTCTTTCTGGCCTCTATAGAATCTCTCGAGAGAATGGTATTTTATGCAGTTTCTTAGATAAGAAGGATTCTCGCTTTAGCTATCTTCACAAGACACTCGATACGCTTTGTAGCAAGTTACATTTGGAAGGTGTAGAGGCAACTGTTCATTCAGCACCAGTTATTACTGTGGAGGATGAGCAGTTGCAGTTCCTTGCACTGTTGCCAGCGTGGTGGGCAGGAATAATGAGACTTATCCGTTAGCCAGTTTGTGAGAATACCTGCTGATATCAGTCAATATGATGCTAACACATACTGTGAATACACAGAATTCATTTCAAAAAACAACTTACACAGATTTAAAGATATCCACAGCAAGAATAAGGTCGTCAGGATTTATGCTGTTACTGATTCTGGGAAATGCTTGGTTCGTTTGCTCGACTTCTACTTTAACAAGTTATCTCCAGATCCAAAAGCTTTCTATTTACGCCCACTCATTAATTTTTCACTTGAATTGGGTAAGCCCTGGTATTTAAATGTTACTATTGGCATTGTTACTTCGCGAAATATGATGAAAACAATATCTGAAAAAGGAGGTCTTTCAAATGTTTATACCAACCATTCTTTGAGAGCTACTGCGGCAACACGTTTATTTTTGTCAGACGTTCCTGAAAAGGTCATTCAGGAAAAGACCGGGCACAGAAGCTTAGCAGGATTGAGAGCCTATGAGAATACCTCTTCAGACCAGTTGAAAGGAATATCAAAGATGCTAGACTCAGCAACATCATTTCAGACTCCATGTATAAAAGATGAGAATGCAGATCCTGATAAAATTGAAGTACCAGAGAAGAAACCAGAAGAGCTAGATGATAATCCACCAAAGAAGTTGAAAATGGCAGATGATACACCACTAAAACCAAAGCAAATGGCTCAAGTATTTTCAGGGAGTTTGGAAAATTGTGTTATCAACTTCTACAATAACTCTGACTC